CCCATCCTGTGCCCACAGTTTCAGCAGGGCCTGCAGAGGTGTTTGATTACCTCAAAGTCCTTGACCAGTTGTTTGGGCTGGACCTTAAGATACATCTCGTACTTGCCCTTGTTCCTCTTCAGCAGCTCTTCATAGGTTAGCTGAAACATGACTTTGCTGCCCGCAGCCACATTGACTGACACCGTGAATTTCTCCAACTTCCGCCCAGAGGCCCTGAATGGGATGCAAGACAGCGACTGCCCCAAAGACTGCACTACCCCACCCATCCTGAGCCTTGGGTTCAAGTCAGCCCCTTGGGGGAGACACCTACTCACTCTAAGCCTCGTTTACCTCAACATCAAAATGGGATAATGTGGTGAGAATTACGGACACATTTTGCAATAATGATAATAATGATAATAATAACTGCTGCCGTTGTTGTTTGCATCCCTTACAGACCAGACATTCTTCCCCAGGCCTGGGGGTCCGTACTTACTTGACCAAACCAGCTGTCTTGCCCTGGGACACAGCCTTTTCATACTGCTTCTTGGCGACTTCCTTCTCCTTGACGTTACCAGGGTAGGTAACACCGTCGATGGTCCTGCAGGGAAAGAGTTGGGGCTCATGCTGGGCCAGACTCCCCTCCAGAGCCCAGAGCCAGCAGCCATGGGGACACCCACAGGGTGAAGTTGGTGATGAAAGCGGTCTTGGGCAGCTCCACGTCAAAGGAGACATCCTTGGCGGCATTTGCGCGGTTGGCGGCCCTCGTGGTGACAACATTGTGAGCAAAGCGGGAGGTCACCTTGCAGCTGACCTTGGTACTGTAGACCTCAATGTTGTCAGCCTTCTGTGGGAGAGGAGATGGTGATCAGTGGTGACTTGCCAACCCGGGCCCTGGGAAACAGGTCTTCTAACCTGGCCACTCCTCTTCCCAAGGCCCTGCCTGGGAAGCACCCCAGTCACCCGTGTGGGAAGCCTGGTGGCCTCCTCCATCCCCCTGCTCAGTTGGCCACCTCTGTCCTGATGATGGGCGCCTGGGCAGTCCTGGTGCCCCTGGCATGCGCTGGCCTTCCTGAGCACCTCTCTCCCCTCGGAGACCAGGGGCTTCTTGGAGGGCAGAGGCCTTGTCTGATTCAGCCTGTGTTTCTCCCTGTTCACTGGGCCCCACAGGTTCCTTAGCTCAGCCACCTCATTGCTCAGCAGCAAGAAGTCACTTAGGAAGGGGAGTTTTGCACCATGAGAAGGAACTTCACATAATGCCAAGAGGAGAGGGCGAGGGGAGGGAGCAAGCCAGGGAGCAGGGGGGGTGAACTGAGGGAGGCTCTAGGGAGATGTCTGGGTTAAACATGGCCTCCTTAACCCTGTAGTGTGTTTCCATGCAGCCTGTAGCCAGTGAGATCTTATAAAAAGAACAAATGTGACCCTGTTCCCCTCCCTCGTGAAACCCTCCCATTCTCCCCATTGCCCTCAGGACAGTGTTCCCCATGCTCTGAGGTCCTCCAGGCGGGTCCTGTCACCTCCACTCTGGTGCTCCAGCCAAGCCAGGTCTCTGCCCCTCTGACCCCGGGGGTCAGAGACCTGTCCCAGCTCTTCCTGCTCACCTTTCACACTTCCATTTAGAAAGCTCGCCCTCTACCTTCCTACTGTGCCCTTTGGCAATTGTGTGATTCTGCCTCCCAAACAGGCACTTATTTTCTGTGCTGAAAATAGAGTGTGGGCAGGACTTCATGTCTCCAATATTTTCTTTCCCCAGCGAGCCGGGGGTAGGGCGTGTGGGGGGAGGGTGGACTGAGCGCGGCTCTAGGGAGCTGTCTGGGTTAAAGATAGATATAAAGATGCTCCGTGAAGGTGTGACGGTGCCTTTCACTGCCCAGCCCAGTAGCAGCCACTGCTGGGTAAGTGTTAGTGGAAGGAGGGAAAGTGCAATGGCCATCCTGGGCTGCCTCTGGGGAGGACCTAGGGGGCATGGTTCTATGGCACTCTTTCCTGGGGGTCTTGAGTCACATGGGGGTCTGCCAGGGTAGGGGCTGTGAGCTGTTTGTCAGCTGTGCAGGATCTCCTGCTATGGCCCAACTCTTCAGCTGTTGGGAAACCAGCTCCACCCTGCCCCCCTCACCATGCCCCCTCCCTGGTGAAAGTCCTCACCTCATCCAGGACGTTTTGTTTCTGGAAAAGCAAAGGTAAACACACTGTCAGGTCAAGGCCAAGGCCACTGTGGCTGGGGGACAAGTTCTTTGCAGAGGCCAGGGTTCAGTGGTGACCCCTACCTGCCCACACACCTTGAAGGGCCTCTGGATGTAGGACCCTCCTGGAGCCACTTGTCAGAGTAGGAAGGACTCTGAATAGATGGGGAAAGTGAGATCCTGAGAGAGCAGGTCTCAGGCTTCCCAGGGGAGAAGGACAGGGCTTTTCCCCTGCTCCACAGACCTCAGCTCACTCTGCCTGTCCCTGCACCCGGGTCCATGAGGCCTCCTCGCACAGCACCCCGCACCCCTGCACACCACAGGGCTCAGCCCAGCCTTCCTAGGCGCCTCTGCCCTTTTCTCAGAGGTGGACCTTCACAGCTGCTCAGTGAGGTGAGCAGTTCGTGGTGTATCACCCATTTGACAGGTGGGGAAACAGGCCCAGGGAGAGCTAAGAGCCTTGGCCAGAATCAAAGAGTAAGTTTGGAGCCCAGTTCTCCCAAAACCCAGCCCTGTCCCCTGCAGCTCATGACCCCGCCCTCTACCTCCCCCTCCTGCATGTAGAGGACCTCCCAGGCTGGGACCTCTGCCCCGTGATGGTCCCAGATTGTGAAGAGAGGACAGACTTACCTCAAGTGGCCGGGAGGGGCTTCTTGGGAAGCCAAAGGCCACCGAGCTGGAGAGCAGGGCCACGATGAGGCAGGGCCACCAAGCAGACGCCATCGCTGAACACGCAGGCCTGGCCCGCAGTCTTTATATGAGCCAGCTGACCGGGGGGGTCAGTGACCTCCAGCAGTGCGGGAGGAGCGGGAGGCGGAGGCTGTCTGGGAAGCCGGCGTGTGAATGGAGTAACGGGGCCTGGATTTGCCTGAACCAAAGTGTCCCGTGGGTATTGTCAACAGCATTGGAACTTCACTCCCAGAGACTGGGGGACATGGAGGCCTTGGGTAAGCAGAAGCTGTGTGTTGGCAAATGAGCCCTGGGACTCCCTGGATGGGGACAAAGGTGTGGAGTCACATTTAAAGCAAATAGAACCTGTCAGCCTCCTTGCCTCTTACCCACACCACTGGCCATGGCCCCTGGATCACAGCCACCCCCTGCTCAAGGCGGCCAGGCCACGGAACCAGACACAACATCTCAGGCTCCGATTTCCATGTCTGCAGCCCTTGCTCAGTATCCTTCTCTGGTTCTCATGGCCCCAGGGAAAAATGAACCCCGAATCCTGTGGCCCAGCTCTCTCTGTTACCTGGTTCCAGCTTGCTTTGCTGAACTTTCTCTGCCACTGATGTGCCCTCCCCTAGTCTGCACATTGCATCTCTCATCTCTGCCAGCCCCTGTGCCCTCCTCCGGAGCCTTCCTCTTTTGTCCCTAGTTGACCACAGGCAGCTTTGCTGCATAGTTACCCTGTGTTGAGGTTTGCATGTTGAGGTCTGATTAGGGCCTCTATCAGTGGTTCTCAACCTTCCTAATGCCGCGACCCTTTAATACAGTTTCTCATGTTGTGGTGACTCCCAACCATAAAATGATTTTCGTTGCTACTTCATAACTGTAATTTTGCTACTGTTATGAATCATAATGTAAATATCTGATATGCAGGATGTATTTTTTGGGGTCGAGACTCACAGGTTGAGAACCGCTGCCTTTGGGCTCCAGGAGGGCCAGGCCATGTCACATTCACCCCTGAGTACCCAGGGCCTGGCCAGTGACTCAGCTGCCCTCAACCTCTTAAAGAGTCATTTCCTACCCTGGCAGAGGGCCTCAGTTTGTTGTAGCATCATCCATACACCCAAAGATTGTAGGTTTGCTTCCCAGCAGGGCACATACCTGGGTTGCCAGTTTGATTCCCAGTCAAGGCACATACCTGGGTTTCGGATTTGTTCCCCAGTTGGGGCATGTGCAGGAGACAACAGATCAATGTTTCCCTCTCTCCATCTCTACCTTCCTCTCTCTCTGAAAATTACTAAAAATATGTCCTCAGATGAGGATTAAAAAAAAAAGTCATTTCCCAACAGTGTCCAGTGAGGCTGGAGGGCTGGCCTCCAGGACAACCGAAGCTTTGGAGGCAGCGTCTGGCCCCTCCTCGTGGGGAACGAGACTCCTGGGCCACACCAGGGCCCTACCAGCCCCTGCACCTACTAAAGTGGCAGCTATGAGCAAAGTGAGCCAGTAACCCTCCCACTCAGCCACTCTCCCTGTTTTTGTTTTTTCTTTAATATATTTTTATTGATTTCAGAGAGGAAGGGAGAGGAAAAGAGAGAAAGAAATCTCAGTGATAAGCGAGAGAATCATTGATTGACTGCATGCTCCCTACTGCAGATCGAGCCTGCAACCCAGGCATGTGCCCTGCCTGGGAATCGAACCACGACTTCCTGATTCATAGGTCAAGACTCAACCACTGAGACACACTGGCCGGGCCCACTCAGCCACTCTTAATGGAGTTGACAAGGATGCCTGGGCACAGGGCAGCTAATTTATGGATTGTACCATGGCTTTGGCTGATAGTTCTGCCCCTGACGGTGACACGTGCAGAGAGAGTTGACTGCTAGGAACAGAGAAACAGGGGGAGAAACCACCTCATCCCCAAATGCTTCGGGTTGTGTGGGAGGGACAACTTGAAATAGCAATCTGAGTTTGCTCAGGAGGCTTCTGAGGGACAGCTGGGGACTTGGAGGGACGTAAGGTCATCATGCAGAATGTAGGCTTAGATAGAACCTAAGAGACCCTCAGGCTCAGCCATTTCCTTGCTGCAGGAGGGGAAATGAGGCCCCAATGGGGCAGAGCCTTGCTCAGAGTGACCTCCAGCTGGCAGCCCATGGCTCTCCCTGGAGAAGCCCGGGAGACTCCAGACAACAGATTGGTGTCTGGAACTCCATTGGCCGCCCGCAGCCTGGGGTGGAGGGCCCTGTGTTCCCTGGGCCGGGAGCAGCCATGGAGCTCAGCGTTTGTGTTGTTGATGTGGGCCCTTGTGGGCCTCACTGGGAGTGGGAACTGAACGGAGAAAAGGCAGAAAGCCTTTGGAAAGGAGCGAGTGGGGGCCTGTCCACTTCCACCTGAAGGGCCGGCAGCATCCTGAAGTACAGGTTCACCTCATTCCCTGCCCCTGCACCCTTTCACATTGGACTTTAACTGGGCCCAAGGCAAAGCCATGGGAAGGAAGGGACCCTGGTGGAATAGTCCAGGAATCAGTGTGAGGAGCCAGAAAGCTGCCGTTCCGGGCCCCTGAAATCACAGCTTCTGAGCAGTGGGCACCTCTGCCTTTGGGAAATATTATCTCGCTGTCAGAGGTTGCTACCCCTCCACTGGGGAAGGAGCAAAGGGTGGGGGCAGGAACTGTCTCCTGAGACCCTGAGTCCAGGGGGTCATCCTCCAGCTACTGGTAGCACATCTTTCGTTCTTGTTTCATACATTCAGTTTAAGTGATGCTTTGGAACTTCTAGAATCATATCCCACAAGGCTTTGGCTACCAGTTGCCCATGGGACTGGAGTATTGATATGGGAGTAGTAAAGCTCTCAGATGCTGATGCCAGACAGCACGGGTTCAAATCCCAGCTCTGCCACATCGAAGATGAGTGATTTTGGACAAATTACCTAACCTCAGTTTCCTTAGCTATCAAGGGGCCTGATAAAAGTCTCCCCTAGTGCTGCTGGGAGCATGCATTGAGTTCATTCAGCGAAGGCACTTAGAACAGTGCCTGGCTACAGGAAGCACTGAGTCAGGAGTGGCTGTGGCCGGTCGTTCCTGTATATGCTTCCAAAGTGTCATTTGGTCCCTGAACCTGTGGGAGGAGCGGTGGGGTACTCTCAGGCCATTCAAAGGCAGAGGGCAGAGGGCAGGAGGCAGGGAGGAGCGGAGAATAGGATTGGGTACAGGCGAATTGATGGGGGTGACCTCCCAGCTTCCAGTTCTGCTGTGACCCCTGAGCCCTTCTGAGAGGCAGCATCTTGAATTGCCTCCTGCCATTCTCCCTGCCAAAGAGCAGCCAGCCTGGAAGGACATAGTCTACCTTTAATGGAAGTCATGGATGCTTTGACACGGGGGACGCCTTGAAGAGGGAGGCGTGGCCTGGGCAACAGGTCAGGATGCTATCCTCCTCCAGAGCAGGGCAGGTGTGCTGGCTGGGGGCTCAGAAGATAGCGGGGACGATGTAGTCAGTGTGAACACCATTGATCAGTCCGGCCCCATTGTTGTGGACGAACCAGCAGGTCACCTGGGCCCCATGCCGGGGGTCCCTGCTGTAGTCTCTTTTCAAGCCCCTGGGGAGAGACAAGGCGGCTGGGGTCACCTTTAGGATCCAGCAGGGCTACACCTTCCAGGAAGCTCACCCCGCCCCGCCACCCCATGTGACACCAGGAGGAAGGCTTGGACCAAAGATGGGCAACGCCAAGGGCAGAGATGCTAGGAGAGCAGCCCACCCACCTGGTGATGGTAAGTCGTTGGTTCTTCACCAGGGGGTGAGGCATCGTCTGGAAGGTTTCCTGGATGAATGGCTTCTGTCTTTGTGGGGTCAGAGCCTGGGTGCAGGTCGGACATTTTATAATCAAAGGGGTGAAAGCATTGTCCTGGAAAGGCACGTTGGAGGCAGCAGTTACTGGCAGGGAGCTTTGTTCATGCCTTGCACTTGGTAGGTGCTCACTGCAGGTTTAAGAGTTGCTTGAATTCTTTCAAGAGCTTGACTGTTTCTCATAAATGTTGGCATCAAAGCCCCTCATTTAGTTCACCTGCTATAGAGAAGCAGCAGTATTGTCAGCTGGTCACAGCTCCTGTCTTTTTGGACTAATTCCAAAGGAATCTGGCTGGGAGAGAGGTTTGGTGGGTAGGTGCCCCCACAGAATACTTCCTGCAGGAAGGCCACAAGGAGAAGCACTGTGGCTGATGACCATCCCACCCAGAGGGCTCTGGGCCCACTGGACCTTTCTCTTTGCTAATCGGGCCTCTGTCCCTTTGCTCCCAGGCCTCCTTACACTTCAGTTTCACTGTGAATTTGTTTGATCACAGCCTTTTGAGGGTAAGACCCTCACCAGGACAAGCCTTCTTTGGATCTCTGAGCCTCGGAAGTCATGTTGGAGGTGACCCTGACCGGATGCCCAACTGCAGTGCTGACCAGTCCCCTGGCTTCAGTGCCCCACCCCCACAGCTCTGTCCACTGAGTCTGGGTGTCCCAGCTCTGGAGGGACAGACAGACCAGTCTGCTCCATGGGTAGATGCTGACGGGAATGTGACTTCATGGGCATCTGATTCCTCTACCCCGTTCCCACCCCAGAGCCCGCAAGGTAAATCCTGGCAGTTTGGGAGGAGAGGGGCAAACCTAAGGGACCCCCTGCCACCACCCGGAGAGCAGGTCTTGGCATTCACCGAAAGCCTGGAATTCAGCCTCAGAGCGAGCGCCTTTCCCCTTTGCCCACTGTGCCCAAGCTCGAGCTTGGCCAGGCACACAGTGTGAGGCCACGGCTCCCAGCCTGTGGAAAAGGACAGACAGACTCAGGGTTGGGGGTCAGGGGGTGAGGCATCGTCTGGAAGGTTTCCTGGATGAATGGGGCCTTGGACTGGCTTGAATTGAGTGAGCAGGGAGAGGTGGGAACGAAGGGGTCTCGGCCTGAAGGCCTGGGTTCTAAGAGGCTCTGGTCTCTCCAAGGCTGGCCCCGAGGGAGCCCCCATCAAGAAGAAGCGCCCCCCTGTGAAGGAGGAGGACCTGAAGGGGGCCCGAGGGAACCTGACCAAGAACCAGGCGATCAAGTCCAAGACCTACCAGGTCATGCAGGAGTGTGGTGAGTGTTCTCAGGGGACTGGGGGCCGAGGGGGTACAGATGTGTGTCAGTAGGAGGGGGTAGGATGGGGGCTCCTATGGAGCTTTTCTAAGAATCCAGAGCTCAGGGGCTCCCCACCAAAGAGGCTTTCCCTCGCCAGGAGGCTGGACTGGGCCTCTGACCTCCCCATCCTGCCCGCAGAGCAAGCCGGCGTTGCCGCACCATCTGTGTTCAGCCGCACCCGGACCGGCACTGAGACCGTCTTTGATAAGCCGAAAGCTGGGCCTGCCAAGAGTGTCTTTGGCTGAGAAGTACATGCCACGCCACCCCCTGGGCACTGACAACACCTAGACACAGGAGTCTCCCAAGAACTCTCATGCCA